CTCTCTCGATGGATACATTTTCTTAGATCACTCGGGGTGCATAAGTTGAATGCAATTTCATGAGTCAATAAAATGTGGAATTTATAAATAATCTCTACAGGCAGGGAAGGATAAGAGGCGATTTCACATATTTGCACTTATTGTATCACCACTATTTAGATCTTCAGCTGTGATCTCATATGGCAATAATATTGAAAACTTGTTTGCGCCCATAGAGTCTGACAAAAGGGGTGTAAAACTTTGGCATTTCGCGCAGCGCAGCACATATTTCTCTCTTGTTTAATATTGATACACCAGCATGTCACATATGCTGAGGATTCTATCAATTGCCAATTAAATAATAAAAATTAAAGATTTAATTAACAACTTCATAATGTCGCGCCTCGAGACTTCTTGCGCATCTCCCGGCCGTGGTGCACAATAGCAAAAGTTAAATGACATAATCACGATCATCTCTTGCAATTCAAGCTCCTCTCGCGGTGATATTTTCTCACAACACAGCGCACATCAACATTAAATTGTACACAACTCTGGCGTTTTTTTTCTATGCGTCTCATCTCGGGAAAACATCTCTCAAATGCGGCATTCTTACGGAAACGGTATAGTGAATTCCATACCATATAAATTGTACGAAAAACGTGCGCTTGTGTGCATCTCCTTCACCTTGATCTCTCGTCCCCAAGAGCACATCTCAAAACTTGGTATATAAATATTAAATATATTGGCGAGAGAGAGAGGGATAGAGAGAGGCAAAAGTAATATCCTATAAATGTACCACCATATTGACAACTCAATAGTTTGCCATTAGCATTTATATTTTTATTACGCCTTAATATGGGATCTCTCGCCATCTCAACTGGCGTTATTGTTGATATTAACCATCGACCAAGAGAAGTCCATTTGGGGTTCTAACTTCTTGGACATAATGGATGAGCTCACGGCACTTAAGATGGTGTGTCTTTAGGGGAGAATCACATTGAGAGAACTTCTGGTGAGCGACAGGAAGAAAAAAGTATTTGAACACAATCGCAAAGGAAAAGTGACTGCTTGCGCCATTGAAGTCACAAATGAGATCCAGAGGAAATTGTCCATTGCCCAGTAATAATATTAATCTGTCAGGTGAAGTCGCAAGATAAGACCTCTTTAATTAAAATCAGTTTAAAATCTCCTGATAAATGTAAAATCTCTGACCCATTTTCACATGTTGGCTAATAAGACATTAAATACTTCCTGTATTGCTTTATCACTAATTTGGCTTCCCCTAATTAACTCTTATCATTTCTGTCAAAGTTGCAAATGACGATCAGACAAAGAAATACGTTAAATTTAATGACTGAGAATGAATTGAACTTTCGCAGATGCCAATGCTTTTCAATTGGATGGACAATTATTGCATTTTGGCATCATTTCCACTCCATTTACCATGGGTTATATAAAATTTTATAGATCCAGCAATTGCACACACACATACACACATTCCTCAGCATTTTATGCGCATGCATTCAATTTGCACGATCACACGTCCACGAAGCTCCCCTTGAGACCTCATCTCACTGCGTACAGAGGAGAAAAAAAGTGGAAGACGGAGACCAAGAGAGGTTTGCCTAAGTGCGCACACAATTCCTCTTTGCCAACATGCCACTGATAACGAACGAGAATTGACCAAATGGGCGAGGAAGAAGTGCAAACACAAAGTAGGTACCAGTGGAAGATTGATCATGAGGAAAATGCCACAATTTTGCATAGCGAAAGAGGGTGCATTTCCAAAGGAAACCCGAAGGAGGTTGGCAATACTTGTGCCTCTTGATGGAATGTGAAGTGTGTAAGTTACACAATTTGCATACAAGCAATTAGAGTGCTTGATCGACAAATGCTATAAAATGTATACACAGTAAAATTGAAATGCACCAGAAGGTGGATTTTATAATATCTTTCAATGCAAATGAACTCTTCTCTCCGGGGCACAGAATGAAAGAGCAAAAAGGGGGACTTTTTGGATTGGAGAAGATCGGTGAGAGCAAAAGAGAAGCCGCGCGAAAGATTCCCATGAGATATTTTGGGTTGAAAATTGAGCTTCACAATGGATTGACAAGGAAAATTGCTCCTAATCAATCTCAGAGCAAATTTAATCGATTCCAAGGAATATTCGATGCGTGATTTATATCCCATGCTAAGATTTGATTTTCTTATGTCAGCACCAAAAATGTTGAATTTACATTTGCACAGATTAAATGCATTTTACTGAATGAGATGATCGCGTGTAAATCAAGCAGAAATTTCTACCCTTTAAATAGTGCCCAGGAGCGAATTTATGATGAAATTGCGATTTACATTGTGCACAATTGACTCCATTCTCACTCCACGCGCATTCCCAATTCCTTGGCCATATACCTCGAGTCTCTGGCGGATCAAATTTGTCCAGAACGCCTTCATTTGAAGAAAGCCTGACAGCCGCTTTATTGGTTTTTAAAGGCCAGCACCGCACACACCATAATGCATCAAATAACAAATATGCAATTTCCCTCTTTTCATTACATCGCGATTGCAAATTGATGAGGCCCTGTGCGCCGAAACATTTCAATTATGAAACAGTTCCACTTTAAATGCAATATCGAAAAAACATGCACCTATATATTGAGTATTCCACCAATCTCTCATTCAACTTATTAATAAAGGCTACAAGGTTTGGCCGCATTCGCGCAAGTGAAATGGCAAGAGGGAGAGATAAAAGCTCACGAATGAGGAGCAAAAAATCAGAATATCTTTTTTTGCATTGCCCGCAAGGTATTGCAATCAATACATACACACAAGTTCCTCTTCCTATGCCATTTCCATCCACGAGGAAGCTTATGGAGGCGGCGTGGCGGCAGACACTCAATAATAATCCCAAACGAGTCTGCATTTTATAGTATCACGGTGCAAAGTGCTGGGTCAATTGCAATAATTCTCTGCGATCATTGCTGTAAGCTGGCCAACCATCTGTTTTATGTCATCGACTTGGACTGGCAGAGCAACATCGAAAGTGAGGCGTGAAGAGAAGTTTTGCGATAAAATCCTGTTTTGATTTCGATCATAACTTGATCATGGCAACTTTGAGATCTGATGCACTTAAATTCGTACTTGATCTGAGTATAAACTTGTCAGTATTAAATCTCTTGCATTGCAAAAAAAAATGGGAAATACCAGATCTCATTTGAAAAGCTCAATCTACAGTCGAAAGGAACTTTTCTAAATTTGATGGCATTTATAGAGAATACGAAGGATTAGGTAATGATGAAACGTTAGAAAATCTCTAAACTCGCGTGAAAGTTCTTCCCTTGACATAACATCAGAGATTGTTCAGAATGTCATACAATGTATGCGGAGTTGAAAATTTTTGAATCGCGTCACACATATATGTATAATTATAAGAGAGTGAAGAAAAATGATTAATGTCCAAGATGCTTTTCCCTCAGCTGACATGTTGACTTGGAAATGAGTGGAGAAAAAGAAGGGCACAAGTTTATTTGATCTCTGGGAACCGCAACGTCAATTGCACGAGATGGTACTTGGCTTAGGGGTGCGTGCCGTCAATTTTGGGCTCCATCCCAGGGAGATACTCTTGATCCAACCGAAAGTTTCCAGTGCACACGCTGACGCTGTAATTGCCTTTTTTTCACGCCAGCACATAACACTTCTGGATCTTCCCAGGCGAATTTTTGATGCGCCTGGCAATTGGATTTTGCGATACGGGATGCCGGATGCCAAGAGCCGCGGATATTGTAATTGATGGTAGAAACATTTATGCACGGAATGCTCTGCCTTGGAATATTTGAGACAATGAATGATGATCTCATTAGGATCACACTCATCCTTCACGCATAGCCCTTTTTCTCTCACTCTCACTCGCCCAGTTACTCGAAATTGCAAAGGGAGATTTTCTACATCTGCAGCTGCCACATGATTACTCCATTTCGCCATACAATGTTGGGTGAGAGACACTTGAATAACGCCCACAAGACACAAACCAATATATTTTAAATTACTTTTGAATCATCCAGAGAAACTCTATAGGCATATTAAATGTGTTTCCCGGCAAATTGTGGAAACAGTTACAATTCATCATTAACCATCCATCCATCTTGTTGGCAAAGAGTCTCGAAGGCTTCTTCCTAAAGACACTGAGCCGATTGCGGGTCACGCGGCTATAGTCTCTAAACAAATGAGAATCGAGCAAGTTCCTCCTCATCCAATGTCGCCGCGAAATATTGCGGATTTTCCATTCACCGAGACATGAAGAGAATTTTCTCGTCGATGGTATTGCCTTTTCGCCTTTAATACGCTAAATTGTAATACAATGAACATCTAGTTAGAAATTCTATCTCAGCCCATTCCACTCATTTTGCCGGCCAGCATGTCAATGTCACTTCCTCCGGGTCCTCTCATGATACCAAACATGCACAAACGAGCTCGCGTCCATAAGTTGGACAAGAGGTGGAGAAGACAAAAAGAAATCCAACGTCAAGAGTGGAATTTTTGCTATTTGTCTACAATGTTTTGGATTCATTTTTTGCTGCCTTCTCTTGTGTGCCTCCCATTCGCTGCCCCATGACATGATCACCACGATGAGTGATGGCCAAGGAATACACAATGGGAATCTGGGCATTTGATGGAGAAAATTCTCCCCCTTCTCATCTGTCCCTCTGAAGATCATTCTTCAATCTAACACACTGACATCCACATGCTTTTTACGCACTTTACATTGCACTTTAACATCTGCATCCGTGTGCAATTTAATTCCATTTCCCCTGGCGAATTCAAAAGAAACAGAGAATGCGAGAGAATTGGTGCGAGAAAAAAGGCCCACAACCTCGATAATGAATTCGCTCAATTACAAAGTTGTAGCTTTAATGAGCATTCTCATTGCGTAAAAACATCATCGAGTGCTAACAATATTGAAGATTCAATTCTCAGAAATTTTGACTAGCTTTTAACATTCACTATTGTCTTTATATTTGCAGGTTCGTCTCCAAGTGCTGGACAAAAATGACAGTCCACCCACATTTCGGGATCTACCATTGACCTTCTCTGTATCCGAGGACCTCGGAGCCGGACAGGCTGTTGCCACACTGAGGGCAACAGATCCAGACACAATTGGCACCCTCTCGTATGCTCTCATCTCTGGGGACGACGACAAGTTCTCCTTGGAAACTGACACGGGTATCCTAAAGCTCAGGGACTCCCTCGATAGGGAAATCAAGGATGTGTACAAGCTCATAGTGAGAGTGACTGATGGGGTGCAGTACACCGAAACTACTATTACAATTCAGGTAAGAAATGATTGGAAAATTCAGTGAGAATTGAGTAACGCCAGATCTGATATTTGTTATTCATTGCTTTTCGAGAAAAAAAAATCCATGGGCTATCGCATATCTCAGCCCAAACATATGCCCTCGACTTTGGCACATTATACACCCGCGTCATGTGAATAAATAACGTGTTGCTGAAGATTGTTGAGTAATGACAACATAACATGTAATTCGATTCATTTTGGAGCCCTTTCTGAAACCTGATAGAGCCCAGCTTCTTTCACCTCCTGTGACACTACAAATTGAATGTATACTCGAAACTGTGATGCCGAGGGGCGAGGAACTGTGTCATGAGAAGCATCTAAATTTCTTTATATACTCATATGTGGCGCGCAGCAACCTGAGAGCGCGCTCATCGTTCATTTTCATCTCTCTAGCTACCTGCGGGGCTCTATTCGTTTGAGCAAAATTTATTATATTTTATAAATAAAAGCCTGACCATTCTTTCCTTCTCCTCACACACTACTGCTGTCCATCTTCTCTCGCGGTTATTTGCGCTGGCCGTCTTTTTTTCTCTCAAGAGCCAGCGCACTTCTTTTGCTCAGACCAGCTCTCTTTAGTCTTGTGTCGGACCTGAGACGCACGATGCATTGCCCTGGTGGATTGGAACACGCGATCCGTATCCCGGATGACCAAACAAATTAAGAAGAAATTTTTCGGTTTTTATACCATCTTACATGCACTCGCGCTGGCCTTTTTTGCACCCAACCTCAGAGCCTCCCTTCGGATCAGCCTCAATGATGGTCTCAGGGTCTCTTGGGTGTTCATAAGAAATGCATAAAGAATCCTGACATTCCACTTTCGCACCAGGGGTGATTTCCGTTTGGCCATACAAAGGATGTTAGTGGAGACACGCCATCAGTGAAATAGGATTCTCAAGATAAAAAAGAATGCCACGAGATTAGTGCTCATGATCTGAGACAAGAATACAAAGATTGTTAGTGAGAAACGTGGATTATTTGCTTTTATCGACGAAGTTTTATTATTTCATCCAACATATCCTATATTCATTTTAAAATATTTTTATTACTGTCAAAAGAAAACGCTGAACAACTTTCAAGAACAAATCCATGTTATCTCAATTTTCCCTCCGGATTCAACCGGGTTTTTCAAAGCATCTCTCTGGCCGATATTACAAACTCCAAAACACACCATTGAATAGGTGTAATCGAGATAAAAAATCTATGCAAAAGGATTCTGGCAAAGTGTTGGCTCAATAAATCTTAGACGGTGCGAAGATGCAAAAAAGTTTGCAAAGAAGGCATCACCGTATAGTTTATCGTCTTTGACGCGTCTCGTGGTGCCGAACAAGAATGAAGCGGAACCGATTCGTAATTGCCGTCTGGCAGTATGATGGTGATGTAATAAATTTCATGAAATTCATGTAGACACTTTTTCCAAAGCTCTATTACGACATGTCGGGAAGAAGGAGACATAATTCTGGTGATATCAGCAAATTGATATTCAATTGTGACCCTCTGAAGACGAATTCTTGCCACGATTTAACATACACTATATGGTTAGGCAAGTGGTGTTTAATTTAATTCGAATTAAAAGATGAAACTTGGGCAATTTAGTGTGTTTGCCGCGCCACCAGAAACAAACGTAGGGAAAGAGAGAGAACAAGCTGGAGGAGCAGAAAAAGAATCAAGTGTGATTGTAGCATTTAAACTCCCAGTCTACAAGACCCTTAAGCTCATTTTGCTCTCCAGTCTCCCTTTTCGCCCCCGTCAACACTGCGCGCTCTTCAGCTCGATCACGCGAACCCCTCATCTCGGGAGGGCCACTGAACGAGTGCGCACACATTCGATATGATTTCGCACAAAAAAGCCTCGCCCTACACAATTGGCCGCGACCATGAACTGCGTCTCATTTTCCCATACACTTTCAATTAAATTAACCACATAACAGATAACTCGTGAATTGTCGGGGGAGACGCAGTCAGGGAAAAAAGGCCTCTCAGACACCCAGGGAAGATGGGGCTCGCACAGGTTACAAAAAGACATCCTTATAAAAGCGATAATAGCCAGTGAGAAATAAATAAGTAAAATGTGTCCAATAGCCATGGTGTGTGCATTTTCTCAATACAGCTGAAAGAGCACCAACGATGCCAGAAGTGCGTTATTAATTGAACAGATTATGGTTTTCTGCGCGTCCCTTCGCCATGGCACTTCATGTGGAAAAATGATATTTCATGTGTGGCGTCTCAACAATTCCCGCATAGATCGTGTCTCCCCGTTCTCGCTAATGTACAAAATATTTGTCTGGACACCGCGTCCCGGAGTGGTGCGTATATACCAGAAGATTATCCATGCAATTGATGTGTTTAACAGTTGAAGAGACACCGACGACGCCGCTTACAGCAAATGATTATCGGGTTCGTCGCTTGCAGATGAAGTCTTTCGTATTTAATATCGGCATCCGTCCACTTTTCCACAATTTGAATTTCTATAATTACACGTGAGAAGTATCCAACTATGTTTACCGATTTCATCTCATGCGTATTTACATATTTGAGCGATCGTGTTCAGCGTGTTACTTTTCAATGCATTACACAAATTCTGTCTGATCACAACTCTTGGCTGCGATTCTTCTCAAAAATTCACTGGCAATATTGATAATTTTCAAACTTCTTTCGCGCCCAAAAACAGTACTCTCGTCTGTTGAACGATGGTTTTATTGAAATGTGAGGCTGTCAAAGAAATCAAGATGGAGATTATATACTTTTAAAAAATCATTTTATCCAACACCGCACAGAAACACTCATTGAAGAAGCGAATCCCGCATAAATCTGATACAGCCGGAGTGTGGAGAATAAATAAGAAAAGAAAAACGAACATCGAATAGGTGGTTAAATTTAACAAAATTGTTTTTGTACCATCTACCATATAAAACACCTCTTAATAGTTGGGTTATTTTAGGTAGTTCTTATTCACGAGATGTCATTTAATATAATTTTTTCCATCTCGAGACACAGGAAAGGTACACCGCACGATTGAAATGAATACAAAAGATCCAAAATAAGAATGAAGAAACAGTTGAAAATATTTGCGTGTGTGTTCCTGAGTTCAATCTTTTTTTTCGGGATGGCGAAGGCAAAAACCCAACCACAGGAAAAGTTGTCTTCTGGGTGAAGTTGAGAGATAAATTCCGCCTCAAGTTGTCACATGATATCAGAAATTTAAATCGCAAATTGCAATTTCCCTCTCTGTTTCAGGTGACGGACACCAATGATAATCCGCCCATCTTCGAAGAGCCCGCGTACTCCTTTGACATCCCAGAGAATGCGCCGCGTGGCTACCAAGTGGGCATCATTTCAGCCACGGATCCCGACTTGGGTGCCAATTCGGTGTTGTCCTACACCGTGATCTCCGACTGGGCGAACGATGTCTTCTCGCTCAACCCCCAAACGGGAGTCTTCACACTCACAGCCCGATTGGATTACGAAGAGGTGAGTAAGATACTTCCATTTCTTCAGTTGTCCACCCCTTGCGGGCGACTTTGCAAGGTTTCGAGCCACTTCTTGACAAATAATGTTGCTCACATTGATGTATTACATGCTTACATACAAAACGGAGCGTGTCAATTAATCAAATATATGTAAGTTATTATATGAAATTGTATGTAGATTTCAAGCCTCACTACATCGCCGACCCTGTGAGGTTGCGCGAAGCGATACTCCAAAAAGAAGTGGGTGGGTCACAGATCTTGAGCAATTTGCAAAGGCCTCTCCTAGAGAACCCACCCTAATTGGTTGTAAAGCAGTGTGCAATTGATTTTGCTCATGTGGCGTCCCCAAATGAGGTGATTGATTGAAAAAAAGGAGAAACAAGAGTCTCTTCCTCCCGACTATCTGCCAAGAAAATCCATTTCGCTATTAATCATAGTGACAAACAAAGGATTATGATTATTTTTCCCCTCTATGCCTGTACACACATGCTATATAAATTGCAATTTTAATTGACAGACGCGCATTCGTTTCATAAATGTTGACGTCTGTTGGAATTAATTTCGATGTACACTCTCACAAGGTATACATCATATCAAAAAGGTTGAATTAAGCACATCACACAGGCACACACATGGAGAAATGTTAGCAAGTACGCAGAATAGAGATAGACAGAGGCATCTATATAAATAAATATAAGGCAAAAGGAATTACATCCCATGCTTTTTTCCTCCTTCCGCGCGCCCATCATTGCATTTTTATACTAGTTAGTGAATCAAAAAACATATGCGATACCATTGGAGACAATGGTAGCCAAGAAGAGCTTTTTCTCCAACTTTTCTTGATATCTTCCCAGTGGGAATACCGTATGTTCGCAACAAGAAGCGCAATTTATACGTGGTAACGCCTCTAGAGTAGCTACTGTGCAGTTCGTCAAAATAAATGAAAAGATGAAGCTTGAATGAGGTTTTGTATAGTGCAGAAATTTAAGAATGCAATATTTCCTCATAATTATGTGTGTGTGTGTGTGGTCTTGAAAATGACTGCAAAAATGGAGCAATATTTCGCGAGATGCTCCAAAATTTCCAAGAAATTCCCATCAAAGTGAATAAACATTAGCAATGGGAATAACTCTGGTGAATGCTCATGAAGCGGATGAAAATTCCTGTCCTGCGAGAGTGACGTGAAATTAATTGGCAAGTCAAGAGAGTGCAAGTCAGAGCATCAGTAGCTCGGCGTCCCTAAAATAAAAATGGGGAAATGAGGGGGGAGCATTTAATTTCCACAAAGTATGCTTGACATCCCAGTATGTACAATAGAGAGTTGATAATGTGGTAAATTGCTGCGCATGACAAGAAATCAACATGAAGATGATTCCGGGAACAAATAACGCACCAAGGCGACGTGTGAAGATGGTAGACAATGTGCAAGAATAAATTCCCAATGGATGACAGACAATTTAGCAGGAATCCCCTGTGTTCGCCGTATGAGTGTGTGTGTGTGTCATTAAGCCACACCATCAAGTGATACTGATAAAAATATTATCTTAATGACAAATGTATTGAAGAGGAGGGAAAAATTAAACGATTTTTACCTCATTTGCTGCGGTAAAGAGCGACGAACTGCTGATGGGATTATAATTTTTAATTGCTTTTTTATGGCAATGAAAGGCTCTTAACTTAAGTGTAATTTTACCTTGTCCACTCTTTCACTTTATCCCTGCAGCGCACCAACCACACAATTCATTTCTACCATTTACTTTCCCGCATAAAAAACTCACCAGTGAGAAATTACTTATTTTTGGGGCGGAAGAAGGTGGTGAAAACGAGTAAAGTTGGAGAACATTGGCAAATAAATGTGAAACTGCTGAAACATGGGAAGACCTTATTTGATTTTCCGCCCTGTCAAGAAAAATCTCCGCACACTCACAGAGTGTTTGGTTTTGCAGAAAATGTTTAACATCACCTCTCTTTCCAGGTACAACACTACATTTTGGTGGTTCAGGCGCAAGATAACGGTCATCCCAGCCTCTCAACAACACTCACCGTCTACTGCAATGTGCTGGACCTCAACGATAATGCCCCAATCTTCGATCCGATGAGCTACTCCAATGATATCTACGAGAATGTGTCCATTGCAACACCTGTGGTTGTCGTCAGTGCCACAGATATTGACTCAGGTGAGTGTTGCTGATTACTTAGAGAAAGTCCACTGGAGAACTGCTCCTGTTGGCGATGCTCTAAAAAAGACTCTTTTGTTAGATATCCGTAAGGCAATTTTCTCCCCAGTGGCAGAAGGCAATTTGCAAGCACCGCCTTATGGGCGCTAAAACAAATAATAAACATGAAGGGAAAATATTGTGGTGAACAAAGCCAAAAAAAATGAGAGCGCGAAAGTGCAGATGAGGAGACAGTATGGTATCCAATTATTGGCACTTGGTGGCCATTAGAGACTCCCACGATCACCTGCAAGACATATTTGATGTTGTCTGCATAACTGCGGTGGAAAGTTTTTGAAGAAATCTCCTCAAAACCGTGTGTCTATCGTAAATCGGAACAGCTCCTTTCTCTCACTATATCTTGTTTGCCTATTATTCCGTCAGTCATTCATTCACATTGCGACTTGGTAGCTCTTTAATCACAAAACATGCCGAGTCGCGGCAGCAGATTTACCTCTGACACTATTTGAATGTACGCCAAGTGTTGCTGCACTGAAATAAATCCGCAATAATCCTCGACAGGCAATCACCTCAATCACATCATTTGGCTCTACTTCACTGTCTATTCTAGATTTCCTTTATCTGATAATTTGTATTACTTATATAGCGTGCTAAATTGTGCCCTAGTTTTTTGGCGCGGACAAAGAAATTGATTCTTGCCAGAGAGCCACACTAATTGCATTTTGTCCTGTGGCCATTGACAGCCACTTCATTGTGCGTCTACTTTTTTGCCCATAATTTGCTTGGCATCGTGCGAGGGGGCCTTGCGCCGCGGACAGAGTGTCAGAATGAGACAGGTGTTGTCATATTTTTCAACTCCATCCCCAATGCGAATTGCATTGTCGTCAAACAGCAAATATTGCCATGTGTCTGAGCATCGCCATGTCAATTGCCCAAGCCAATGTGTATGGTTGGCTGTTTAACACAGAAAAGTACAATTTCGCATAATCAGCAGGCAACTAACATGGACACAACAAGAACCCCGCGCACAAGAGTCAACTCTGAAGCGACAACGACACAAGATTGTGTCGATCATCCGTCCGTAAGAGTTCATACCCATGTTCCTCATCCTCTCATCTATTTATACACCTCTCGTATATGGTCTGCCACAAGTGTGCGTCTCATGCAAGGGAGAGATGATCACCATTCTGGCATGGCAGGCCACATATTGCCTAAGATAAATCCATCGATGAGGTCAATTACGATTGATCCCCAATTGCCCATTTCTGTCCCTCTCTCGCACTCTCAGTGCTTTGCAATCCGATTGCCAGTAGTTGCCCATCGAGGTGACTTCCAACTTCTCGCACATAATGCCAGGAATGTGTATTATAATGAAAAGTGACAGTGTTTCACCATCTGATCACTATGTACAACCTTTTTTGTCCTCCCATTCTCGCTCTGAGTACTTCTCTAACACCCATTTGTGGGAATTTATTGGACGATGATTGTGAAATTGAGAGTGTACACGTGGAGCTTGGAAAATTCTGAAAATCTTAACCATCAATGCGGGCTGTTATTCAGATCACAGCCTTCGCCGAAGAGGTTTCACTCAAGGCTATCATTTATTCCCATTGAGTTCAGCCAAGAAAATATCACTGACCAATCTATAGTTGGATTCGATGGTGTAGGGAAGAACGGGGTCAAATGTTAAGGAATTTTTCGCTTCACTTCACTTCAGTATCCCTTACTCAAGCAATCTCAAGTATGAGAGACCTGCATAGGTGAAAGAAGGTTCTATTCTATTGTTCCCCAGTAAAATAAAAATCAATGAACTTTTTCAACATCTCTGCATGTGATTTCTAAAATAAAGTAGAGATTTGCGGATTAATATCAGCCATTTCCACAAAGTAACAAATATACTTACAATCAAAAAGCAGAGATTTATCGAAAATTCCCCAAACAGAGATTTTCCCTCTAAAATGCGATGATCTCAGATTCTGTGGTGAAGTGCCTTAAGATTCCTGCCGTGATGGCATGACATGGAGTAAAAAGATAGGAGAATTGTCGAATGGCGTTCGAAGGAGAGCAAGAAACGAGAATCTATCATCCCAATTTAATAATTTATCTTCGTTCTAAAGTGGCGCATTTTAAGAGATATCCGCCAATTTATTTTTCAAGACATCTCTCTCACACTGCGGCTTTGGGTCCAGTGTCTTGAAATTTTAATGCCCATCGATGTCTAATTAATATTCAGATAGCGTTTGGCTTCGCCAGATATTCCATACATTTGCTGCATCAATTTCACATATAAGCTCGATGGTGGGAAAGGGATGGAACAGCATCGTCCGGGCTTTTTTTCTGTATGCGCCTTTCGGTTGACTGTGAGTCAGTCGAAAAGGTAAATACAACAATCGACACTAAAGTGACTTAATTAATTTTGCACAATTGAATGTATGGGCATCTCGCGGATGGACACAACAGGTAGAGAAATTTCTGGACATGTCCCTCTTTCCCGGTGCACACCGAAGACATAGCCGCATGTTAAGTGTGTGCGCTGACGAGGAGCTTTTCGCTGCGATCCCAGATGGAATATAGTGAGAAGGGAGATGAGATGGATAAAAAATGGAATGTGTGTGCTCTCTTCGGTATATAATCACTGATTTAATTTATTTCTCTGGTCTCCCCCCGGTCGCACTTCTTGCATTCTGCACCCAAACATCGACGGATGGTATGTGCTTCTTGATTCTGCGAGTGCACACATCGCGGCCAAAGTGTGCGCGCGCGAAGCCGTGCAACACAACAAGTCGACGCAGAAGAACATGAGAACCAACAAAACTAATGTCTCTGCAATTGCCCAGCGAGAGTGAAGACATATCAAAAGGGTTTCACGGGCAAGAGTAACACGAGGAAGCAACAAGTTGCAGTCGCTTCACACCATATATTGGGTGAAAATATTCCCGCCATGAGCAACTGAGGCTCAAAAATAGGTGTAAAATCGCCGTGGAATCAATTAAAGTGGCGCACAAGGAAAATTTATTATCGAAATGAGAGACGCAGAATTCTCTGCTAAATGCCCAGGAAATGTCTGCGGCCACGGCCAAACGTACATCATCTTCATGCTCTTCCCTCGCCCTCAATAAATGTGTGTGCGCGCGCGCGATGGCATAGAATACGTCCCGGGAGCAAAGCCACTGGGAAATGCGAAAATGGAATGAAACGAATAAATTTTAACAATAATAATAATAAATAATCATAATAACAATAAAAAATTTCTGGATGGTACATAGATTTAAGTTTATGTTTTCGACCTCAGCAGTAATCAATCAATGTGTCTCTCCGACTATCGTCTGCTCTCTGCCGCGCGTTTGTTTGTTTGCCCTATAGAATCGCATTTGTACGACTCGCGGAACTCTCGCCAGTTTATCTGCCATCGTCGTCATAGAAGTCCCATTCTTTTATAGCCATTTGCATAGATACATTATTAGAAGCTGAATCACGATTCTGTGTGAACCACTTTCGCGACTGTCTTATACCCAGTATTGATCCTACTTTCATCAACTTTATCACAATTTTTTTTTCTATTGCAGGAGACAATGGGAGGATCGAGTATAGTATAACAGCTGGAGATGACAATAGTGACTTCGAAATAACACCCAGTGGCACCATCAGGACGAGACGAATGCTGGATCGCGAGACAAAGGCCGCATACAGCCTCGTGGTGACCGCACGGGATTGTGCCGAGGAGCAACAGAAGAGACTCTCATCGACCGTTCAGGTGAGCATGTGTGACTTTAGTGACAAAATCAGGTGGAATATATCGTTGATATCCAAATAATAATGGGCCTTGTGAAGCGGTTGCAGAAACACCCGACAAATAGGCACAAGTAATTTTCACAATTGTGCAAATTATATGTGGAGAAAAAATGCTTTCAATTAGAGACTAATTGCTCCATCAATCCCACAAATGTATCTCCCAAGTGAGAGCTAAAGACGCGGGGCCACGAGGGGGACTTGCCTATTTTCCATTGCACCAACAATTAAGTGCAATTCATATGGTATTTCTCTTTGAGCAATGACTGCAAGAAGACGATGATGATGGAGATGAAGAATGCACTCCATTGCCAGAAGCGACTAACGATTGAGTGGCCTCTCCGCTAAGAGATCCCAAAGGAAGGGATAGACTGCGTGTGTGTTTGTGTGACTCTGTCTTAAAATATTATTTTAAATATACATACACACTGATGAATAGTGGAAGAGGGAGAGAAACAACGTTCCGTGGTGGTTGAAAAAGGGGACGAAGGGAGGAGGAAGGCGCGCCTTTGTACATGAGGTGAGGTTTTGTAAAATGCGACGAGAAGAGGTTGGACATGGAATAAATTATTTCGTTTAACACCAAACAAAAATGCTTCTGCATTGAGCACTTGAGAAGTGACCGCGTGTGTAAATAAATGTGCCTATGCATACATGACAAATCACATTTTCCCCCCATTTCCTATGCCCAATACAGAATCTCACTCATCTGTGGCATCAGTGGAAAATATTTGAGTGAAATTGTCTGTTTTTCCACAGAAATTTGTCAGTGATTTCACATCGGAATTAATCAGACACACAATATCAGATAATCTCAGACGAAACAGATTTTTCAATTGATACTGCGAGAGAACCTGAGATTCTACATGCAGAGTGTTTTTCTCTCCACTTCTGCATAGACAAGAAAACAATAAATTTCCCCATTTGAAACACTTGAATGGTGTGCCTCATTCAATGAGACAAGGTGATGATTCTTTTTCCTGAAGCTCTTTCTGTGTGCCACCTTTTAAATCTCCTTTGGATACACATTCCACAATTCGAGTAAATTGACTTTGGACGGTTTCACACATGGCCGGAATACACTGTGTGGGCAAATGAATGAGGGGAGAATGACTTGGGAAAGGTGATGAAAGAACAATTCGATGGGAGGCCCCGGCAAAAAGTCACTCAGAGATTGGCCCAACATAGACATTTGGAGCAGCCGCACAGCATCTGATCTTATTACAAATTTGTTCTGCTACTGTTTCTTTTCGCGATCAAGTGTTGACGCAATTGTTTATAAATCGATTTCTTTTTCACTCTCGCCCTCAGAGAATAGATTGGATTTTTTGTGGGTGTCATCCTGCTTCCTTTCAGCCTCCAATCACTCTCTTTAAATTGTCGAGAATTACTGAGCAATTTACCCCGTGCAAGAAGTCCCCACCCTAATAATTCGATTTATAATGTTCCATTCCATTGCCCAGGTTACAGTGACGCTGAAGGATGTGAATGACGTTGCACCAACATTCATCACGGCAAATGAAACGAGCGTGGCGGAAAACATCCCCATGAACACCGTCGTGATGGCCATCAAGGCGACAGATCGCGATGAGGGTCGCAATGGGTATATTGAGTACCTTCTGGCACCTGAGCCGGCGGTGCCCTTCACGCTAGGCACGGTTGATGGTCTCCTGAGGGTGTCTGGTCGCTTGGACAGGGAGATCCGATCGAACTACAATCTCATGGTAACAGCGCGAGATCGCGGAGAACCTCCAAAGACAACCCAGACAAACATATCTGTAAAGATCCTGGATGAGAATGACAACAGTCCAGTTTTCGATCCTAAGCAATACAGTGCTTCCATTGCTGAAAACGCCAGCATAGGTGCCATGGTACTTCAGGTGAGTTATCCTGACAATGTATTGTGTTAACACTTTAGCAGTCTTAGAATTAAAAACCCATGAGAATCTCAAATCGATTCTCAGAATTAAGCACACAGTTTAATTCATCCACGGTCTCTTCCTCTGCTCAGGTCTCAGCCACGGACATCGATGACGGGGCGAATGGTCGGGTGAGATTTTCAATCTCTGGCGGAGATGACAATCGCGATTTCAGCATCAGCGAGGACTCGGGTGTGGTGAGAGTGGCCAAGAATCTCAACTTTGAGCGCAAGTCACGGTACGTCCTCACCGTTCGTGCTGAAGACTGTGCCAGTGATGTGGGCAGTGGCGAGACGAGATTCGACACAGCCGAGCTCACCATCACCATTACCGACATCAATGACAATCCACCCACCTTCCTGGACAGCCCGTACCTGGCCTACGTCATGGAGAACGTCATCCCGCCAAATGGAGGCTATGTGATAACCGTGAGAGCCTACGACGCCGACACGCCGCCCTTCAATTCGCAGGTGCGATACTTTCTCAAAGAGGGCGACGCCGATCTCTTTCGCATCAACGCCAGCACCGGCGAAATTTCACTCCTGCGCGCTCTGGATAGGGAGTCTCAGGCCGAATACACCCTCACGCTGGTGGCAATGGATACCGGTGAGTCTGCACTCTATTGTTTCACATAAATAATTCATACAAAATTTAGAGAAGACGAATAATTTGCATTGAGATCCGCGGCCAGAAAAGCTAAGGGGCACTTCACAAGAGAGCGAGGAGAACTTTTGAGCATTCCCTGGGCAAAAGTGCCGATGAAGATGATGATAATAAAGTACTCACGTGTGGTATGAAATCCTGCCAACTCATTCGTAATGATTGGTTTCGTTTCACAAATTACAGTATTAACGTGATTGTTTATAACATGCCGAATAATAATATTGTTGTAGAGAAGAAGAATAAGTCCAAGGGAAAAAAGAGCAACAAATTTTATTTAAAAAAAAAAGAGCGAAGAAGATACAATTCAAGACCAGTCTCGCTGAACTACGTGAAAGTAGTAACGAAAATGTGACAAATTACTCGCGAGTCTAGAGATGAAATTTAATCCTCCGCAGTTGAACCTGCTTTTCAAATAACTACCGGCATCTAAAGACGCGGCGCGACATTTTAGGCCACGAATTCCTTGTTGCACCTCATGAATGCGCATAGAAAGTGCAATTCCAGACAGAACCAAGTGTCTGAGACAATTGTGCACGCCAGTTGTGCAACTTTCAATTCCACTGCCACACACTTTCATGATTACCTTCCGTCAGCCGGGCCGTTAAAGTGGGGGCGAGCTAAACATGCAGTTGATTACTGGACATTTCCTCTCGCCATGAGCATCATCAATGCCATTCTAGAGGACTCAAATGAGAAATAGAAGATTTGCTAATGATCCGTACGGATAATTCTCTCATTTCTTACACTAATTTATACGGATTCTATAATATGAATTTGTCTCTCAATCTTAGATATGTAATTAATAGCTTGAGATCTTTTTAGCAATAATTACTATTCTAAACTTCGTTTAGTCTTGTAATTTTCTGGCGATTTCACAAGAAATACAGCCCTGTGGCGAGTGAATTGCGTGAACCACAAGAGTGTCACTGCAATTAGAGTGAAAGAGAGTCAAAAGACATTTCACCTTCTTGGAAAATTGTTACAAGAGCGTGTGGCGAACAATACATGGTGTTGGATATTTTCCAACTATATATGATTAACTAGCTGTCAGTGCACGAAAATTGATGTTGGAGTTTTAAACTCGACTCAGTTTAGAGACGTGATGCTGAGCCTATTAATAAATTGGCGGCATTTTCGCCTTTGTGAAGAGCAAGTTGCTCCATGCGCATAAATTGGAACTTTTAGCCAAAGATGAAATATAAAACTGGGAGAAGTCTACAAGCCGGGTGCAATAAACAATCATTTGAGACGCCCTCAACTTTCGCTTCTGTTGCTCAATCGTTACCACCATTATTCCCTTTCATCATCAATTTACATATTATTTTTCTCTGGGTGCTCTAATCTGTTTATTTATTCCCATTCTTCACATTGAGCGAATGGACATTGACCGGCGCGTAAAAATAACGAGAACAAGGAGATTGTTGGTGGAAGTCAGTCAGAAAATAGACAAACGTTTAATATAATATTTCTAATTAAAGCGCTAAATTGACCATCCATAAAATACAAAGAAGCAATAAAACTATCATCCACTTCCGTAACACATACATTACACAAGTGATTGCTGCAAGTTGCCTCTCTTCCAAGAATTCTATATTCTTTGATAAACGCTCAATGGCCATTTCGGAGAAGCATTGCGCCGAGAATTGAAACTCCACATTGCCATTCATAGCGATGCTTTTATTGGTGACTTTTTGCTCAATGTGCGCGCGTCTTTTGCCAACATTCCTATGCGAATCTTTCGCTTTTTATAGCACCGAATTTTTTCTGAAAGCACCTGGTTGGGTCATTTCACGCGATCGCACTCGAAAAGTAGCACTTTGAATATATTATCAGATGACTTCTTTTGAATGGAAGTTACCTCAAATTATCTAATTTATATTTGGGTTAATTTCAATACTTTGGTAATTGAATAATTACCATTGGCTTGGCTAAAGGCTTTCGTGTCTTTCATCAGTTTTCGCCATCACCAGAAGATCATTATGGGGGTCGTAAGACTGTTAAGATATGCAAGCATAGGGGCTTGAGATAATCGAGTACCCAGTAAAAACACAATCCGCTGTCCATCGATTATCCATCGTTTTTCCATACTGTGCCATGGAGCATAACGGATGCACCACAGGATTCTTGCGGGAATACCTAAGGCCAAATCCTTCATCTTCATAGGCCGGGCAAACAGTGGACTTGCCCTGCGGGATTCCCGCGAGGATCCCTAAGGCCAAATCCTTCATCCTTAAGGCTGGGCAAACAGTGGACTTGCCCTGCGGGATTCCCGCGAGGATCCCTAAGGCCAAATCCTTCATCCTTAAGGCCGGGCAAACAGTGGACTTGCCCTGCGGGATTCCCGCAAGAATCCCTAAGGCCAAATCCTTCATCCTTAAGGCCGGGCAAACAGTGGACTTGCCCATCAAAAATCCAGTGGTTATCCACTGGTTTGCCCATCAAAAATCCAGTGGATTTTTGATGTGCGCAAACCCTCATCTTAAACAGTGGGCAAACAGTGGATTCGCCCATCAAAAATCCAGTGGATTTTTGATGTGCACAAACCCTCATCTTAAACAGTGGGCAAACAGTGGACTTGCCCTGCGGGATTCCCGCAAGAATCCCTAAGGCCAAATCCTTCATCCTTAAGGCCGGGCAAACAGTGGACTTGCCCATCAAAAATCCAGTGGTTATCCACTGGTTTGCCCATCAAAAATCCAGTGGATTTTTGATGTGCACAAACCCTCATCTTAAACAGTGGGCAAACAGTGGACTTGCCCTGCGGGATTCCCGCAAGAATCCCTAAGGCCAAATCCTTCATCCTTAAGGCTGGGCAAACAGTGGACTTGCCCATCAAAAATCCAGTGGTTATCCACTGGTTTGCCCATCAAAAATCCAGTGGATTTTTGATGTGCACAAACCCTCATCTTAAACAGTGGGCAAACAGTGGACTTGCCCTGCAGGATTCCCGCAAGAATCCCTAAGGCCAAATCCTTCATCCTTAAGGCCGGGCAAACAGTGGACTTACCCATCAAAAATCCAGCGGATATCCACTGGATTTGCCCGTCAAAAACCCACTGTTTGCCCAGCCTTTTGGGATGAAGGATTCGGCCTTAGGGATTCTTGCGGGAATCCTGCAGGGCAAGTCCACTGTTTGCCCACTGTTTGAGATGAGGGTTTGTGCACAGTGAATACCCACTGGATTTTTGATGGGCGAATCCACTGTTTGCCCACTGTTTGAGATGAGGGTTTGCGCACATCAAAAATCCACTGGATTTTTGATGGGCAAACCAGTGGATAACCACTGGATTTTTGATGGGCAAGTCCACTGTTTGCCCAGCCTTAAGGATGAAGGATTTGGCCTTAGGGATTCTCGCGGGAATCCCGCAGGGCAAGTCCACTGTTTGCCCAGCCTTTTGGGATGAAGGATTTGGCCTTAGGGATTCTTGCGGGAATCCCGCAGGGCAAGTCCACTGTTTGCCCACTGTTTAAGATGAGGGTTTGTGCACATCAAAAATCCACTGGATTTTTGATGGGCAAACCAGTGGATAACCACTGGATTTTTGATGGGCAAGTCTACTGTTTGCCCAGCCTTAAGGATGAAGTATTTGGCCTTAGGGATTCTTGCGGGAATCCCGCAGGGCAAGTCCACTGTTTGCCCACTGTTTGAGATGAGGGATTTTGCATTGGGGATGATCGCGGGAATCCCGCAGGGCACTCCGCAATTACTGAACTGCCTATATTTTGGAGATTGTCTTTCAAGATGGCAGCTGTCAAAAGTGGGTGGGAAAAAATCACACATTTTATCCTTAATATTGAGGGAATAAGGCTCTGGGGAACGCATATTTACAGTTTTTCGATGATTTTACATTGATATCCTTGACAAGCAATGAAAATTTCGGCAATAGAAAAAAATGTTGTGAAAAATATTTTCCAACAACTTTTCCAAAAATCTGCGTATTTCCGGTGCGGAAACTACTTTTTCCCCCTTTTTATTCATCCTGTACCGTGGAAGCATCCTTGCACCAAGTTCTTTATTATAATAAGCGTGTAAAAGGACTTATTTGCGTGCTTAAAAATGTCTTGGTGAAATTCCAAGTCCCATTTATAATGTTGTGAAATTCCCCTGTGTGACATCACCATGTACATTTTGTGAATCACAGCGCCACCTCGAAAAATTGGTCCGAAGCGCGCCATATTCTAACTACAGGTTCACTTTATGATGGATTTTCAGTGGACTTTCCTGCAGGAATCCCTCAGTAGGGGTCCATTGAAAATCCATCGTTTTGGGTCCTTTTTATCCTTGAAGGATTTTCAATGGACCCCTCCTGAGGGATTCCTGCAGGAAAGTCCACTGAAAATCCATCGTTTTGGGTCCTGTTCATCCCTGAAGGATTTTCAATGGAGCCTCCTGCGGGATCCCCGCGAAAAAATCCACTGAAAAACCATTGAAAAGAGGCCTAAGAGGTTTCTTTTACGGGCTTAAGAGGTGTGGAAAAACCATTGACTTCCCTCCAGGAGTCCCCATTGAAAAACCAGTGGATATCCGCGGACAGGCTCCATACAAATTTGTGTATAAAAATCTGAGGGAATCCCGAGGGGGGTTTCCTTCAAAAATCCACTGGGGAACAAGGGACCGACCGGTGGGAATCCCGCGGTTTTCCATCGTGGCTGTTTTTACTGGGTAATTGTTGTTAATTTTAAAGCCGTTTTAAGGCTCCACTTCCGATGCTCTTTAATCAGCAAGTTAACACGTGAAGTGCTGAAGTTGCGCAAAAATCGCAAGAACTGAGCATTTAACCTTCCATCTTGGAATGTTGGGGTGAAAGAGAAAGTTTTGGGGGCCGGAGAATGTCCGTGGCGAGTGGGAGAGTGGCGCACACTTTCAAGATGGGGAAGATGTGTCCATGCCAGTCCCACTTAATGACAATGTGAGCCGTTGAGAATATTCTTGGTCGCCACAA